ATGAAACGGTTATGGCTTTCACACTGGTTTGGCAAGGTAGAGTACAGCTAACACCAGCTGCAGCACCAACAACTGTCAGAGGCCTTCACACTGGGGCTTTTTTATTCTATCAGCATGAATATATCAGCTTAAGTTTTAGCAAAACCTCAGAATGTACATTCATAAAAACTAATTTGTGTAAAAATATAAATTTAATCCATATTGGAATGACTTTTCAAGTCATTTGTATGATGACTACATGCAGGTCATGGGTAGATGAATAGAATGAAGCTATTTTTAATTCTGTCTTGTTTCTCCCTCCAGGCTCAGCCGTTAGTTCTTCACTACACCATCAAGGACAAAAGGACCAGATAGGATTTGTTTTCATTTGGCTGTAAATATTTTGTACCATACATATTCTATTTTAATAGTGTTTGTGTATATAAACTTATTTTCCTTGTTTTGTATTTTTGAAAATAAATTTGAAATTGAAAGAAAAAAAGCAAGATTTTTGTGGTTTATCACTCAGGTTAAGTGTTTCAATATCGACCTAAACTGGAAATCTAATGATCCAGTTGATCAGTTTTGTAGTTACAGATTGTACCGTGATATTTTTTAGTCTTTGTCACCTTTTTTTTCTTCCAGTGGGTTTACTCAGAATTATAACTAGACATGCATCACAACACGAGTCCATAATGATCAGATTATGGTGTAAATCTGGTCTTCGTGGTCTTATGGTTTCCGCAGTCACAGGAAATACTGCTTTCTCTAAACTTGTCCAGCAGTTAGTCACTGACATCTAGGGCTTGGTTATTTTACTAATTGATTCATTCAATTAAAACTTCTTTATAAACGATTTAATGGTTACTGCAAATATTTAATAAATGTTAAAAAAATATGTGTACACGCAGTTTATATTTTAGAGCAGGCATCCCCAAAGTCGGTCCTCGAGGGCTGCTGTCCTGCAGGTTTTAGAAGTTTCCCTGCTCCAGCACAGCTGATTTTCATTGATAGCTGATTAACAGGCTTTTGCTGAACTGCAGTCATCAGAATCAGCTGTGCTAAAGCAGAGAAACCTCTAAAACCTGCAGGACAGCGGCCCTCGAGGACCGACTTTGGGGATGTCTGTTTTAGATTCTGTACCATATTCTAGGTAACGATTCGAGTGCCAAATTAGTTGAGGATCATTGATAACTTACGATTAATCGTTCCAGCCATACTGACAGCCTCTATAGGGAAGCTAAGCCAAAAGTTTATGGCTGAAGCTAGCTGAGAAGCGGGTAACATCCGAGTTTAACTATAGTTGAAGGAAAAGGTGCAAGAAGGATGGCTGAGGGGAAAAAAAAAACCCATTCAAAACTTTGAGGTAGATTCACACGGTGTAAACCTAGCAGGAGATGGCGCAGTGAGCCACCGAACAGACGTATTGAGGACATCAATTGTGTTCAGCCCCTTCTAAACCACAGAAAAAAAGAAAGTGAACTCTAGCTCATTGATTTAAAAGCCTCTTAACAGATGAAAGTAGATTCTGGTTCTTTATATGTCAACCTCACCGAATCTGAAGGAAGAGTGAAACTTAGCAGTAAGCCATGATCATTCAAATGAATGGAAACACCTGGAATAAGTGTGTAATAAATATAGAACTAATGTAGCTATCATGGGTTTAACCAAGATACAGTTTCAATTAAACCTTAGAAACCTTAGGTTAAACACTTTAATTGCAAGAAAAAAACATGCTGTACGTTACTTGCTATAAAAATTTAAAAATAAATCAACCATTTTTGTAAAAAATGATATGCTGATTTTTTTAAATTTTTTTTTTTATTCCGGTTTAGGTCAGTTCTGGACCAGCTGTCATGCTGCTTGTTTGTGCAAATAAATAACCATTATTATTTAAATGCTTTTAGTGACTAAAGTGGTGAGAATATATTTTGGTATTTTGTTTTTGAGAAAAGCTCACAGAGTTCAGACATCTTTTTTTTAACCACCGACATTTCAATCGTACATTTTTTTTTACAGCCTATTGTTAGAGAAATATTTGTATGAATAGATCTTTATATTTTAAATGTTAAATACAGAATTTCATGAATTTATGTTTCTGCAGAAAGTTTTTTTAATGGAAAATGATCCTCTGAATGTGTCCCATCTTGATAGTTTCCCATTTTTCACTCTACGGCTCTGGTTATATAAGAACAAAAGAAATAGTCTATTAAGATGAAAAAAAGAATTATGTTTTGATCATTTGTAGGTGCTTTTCCTTTTGCTACAGTCGATTGTTTCATCAGTATGTGTTTTGGTTATTTTAAGGTGTCTCAGAAAACCTGCAGTGCTTTTTCCATTAGTATTTCCCAAGTCCTCTTATTTGTTTTTCCTACTTTCTCAAAAATGTGCTACATTAATCTTGCCAATTGCAAATTTGTGAATTGTGCACTTCCTGTGTTCTTTCACTGAAAAACAGACACCAATCCTGTCAAACCACATTTACAGTTGCCTTCCATGCTTTAAATTTTTTCATTCAAAATTACCTCAGTTGAAGAAATTTTTGTTTAAAATCAGCAATAGAATCCACCCTATCAAAACGGCAAATATGCTCACAGAGCCTCCAGTGATTTATGTTTTATCCTTCCCTATATGTAAAGAATATGTGCAGCTAATTTAAACTAACATCAAATCAAGAGGTTTGCAGTACATTTCCATGCACTGACACCGATCAACATGGTTACTTTTCAGATTCCTTTCTTTTGGGTTGCTAACATGATGGACATTTCCTAAACAGGGTCTACACTAAACAGTAGAATCAGGGTCGTTTAGATGTTTTGTCTCAGAAAAAGAAAAAAAAACTTGAATATTCAGCAGCTTTGTTGCATATATGTGAAATGATTTAAAAGCTGTTCCAGGGCAGGTATAGATTTTTTTACCTTGACATTGTTGGTTATCAGAAACCTTCAGAGTACAGCGAAGAGCAGCAGTTTATCATAAAAAGCACTGAGCACAACTTCCAAATAACAAAAAAAAATAAAATAAAATAAAATAATTTAAATGATGTCCTCTGGTTCTCTTGCTAAAAAGAGAAGTACCCCAAAATGAGCACTAGGTGGCAGACTTTGAGCTCTTCAGATAACCTCTGATGCATGTGATCTTCTCCAGAGCTTTATATGGCCTGATGATAAATGTGAAATGGTTTCAGGTCTTTACTCTTAATTTGAAAGCACTCTGCGTGATTTTCTTAGATTTTTTTCCTGAGCAACTTGCAATTAATCACGCTGTTTGTAGACATTTGACAATTGATTTTTTTTAAAAGAAAAGATCAGCCACTTCGGTGAGTAAATTGGCCTTGTTAAACAAAATAGGTCTAGATATATTATTTTTAATCTATGCTTAAAATTAATTATTGCAGCTTCATAGGGCGATGTGTTCACTTTCAATAGAAAAGCAAAGAGTTGAAAATGTTATATTATTAAATAGCCGCTGCGCTGAGCATATTCAGGGCCTTTATATAGACATGAAATAATGCTGACAATTCTCCAGAAACTCTTTTCTAATAGGAAACCAAAAATAAATAAATAAATACATAATGAACATAAACCTTAAAAATAAAATTGTTTTTGTTTTGTTTTTTTTGTTTTTTTTAGAAAGCACTTGAAGCGAAAACGAATTCACTCAGATTTATAGTGCAACCCTGTTATACGGAATAAACGAAAAAAAGTGCATAAAAAGGAAATAAATCCAGCATATATAGCCTATATAGTACTTTGAATATTTACACTCTTTTAAAAAAATAAATGTATTTTCATACATTTAAATTTTTAAAGATTTGGTTTTTTTCAATATGTTGCTTAAACAACTCTGTCCTCATTGTTTTTTTTTTTTTTGTCACTTTTACTTCCCTTGCCAATCCACAATTAAACCCCAGGCCTACTTGACTTTTCAACCTCTGTGATTCCAGCCGATTGCTCCTATTGTGATCAGCAGTCTGTTCCAGACTACACTGACATAAAAGAAAAGAAAAATAAAGGGAAAACTTTGCCTCACGATCTATTACTAATATTATTCTTATTATTTTAGGATATTTATTTTTCCTTTTTTTTTTGCAGGTCACTTCTTATATTTCGTTTGATTTAATTCATTAGAAATATATGATGCAGCAACATGTAATAAAACATGTGGTTCTGAAGAATAGCCTATAGAAACATATAAAAATGCATGAGCAAAAAAAAAAAAAGTTTTGGCATTTTTGTCTTAAATCATCAGGGGGAAAAAACAACTAATATTTATTTATGTATCTGAAACATTTTGTCAGTAAAAACTAATATAATCCATCTCCCCCTACACACACGCTCACACACACACACACACACACACTAAACCTTTGATCAGCTCCAAAACTGTTGCAAATGGTCATCCAGCAGCAGCAGCAGCAGTGACTCTGATTTGGCTTTTATTCATTAGGCTCCTCACACGAACCCATTTGCTATTCATGGCCAACTTTGTCTCTTTTTTCCCCCTGCCTCTTTCCAAACAAAACTAGTTTAAGAGTGGCAGATGCGTGGCCATTATTGCCCACGGCTCAGTGGAAGCTGTTTTATTTGAGGCAAAGGCGGGTTAACCTAATCAATCATGTCGACCAGTTGTGTTAAAGACGATTCATAAAGAAGGAGGAAGCAAACATATGGCGCAGGAGCTGGAGGAAAGCTTTTCTTAACACCACGGGCAGACTGGGACCTTATTGTGACAAGATGCATTCAAAGCCCACCCAAATAATGGGAATAAAGGCGGCGGACGGCTGCTAATTGAACACACGGCACTTTAAAGCTGAAAGCAAGGGGTCAGAGAAAGCAAAAGTCACATTTTTTTAGCGAGAGACGCAGATTTAAATTTCTCCCATCTGTCGGAGGTGAATCCTTACAAGTTTTCATTATCTAAAAGAATTATCAATTATAAATTAATATAAAAAATATCTACATATTTTACTATAAATTTTCTGTGGTGCAATAAGACATCCAGTAGCGCTGAAAGCTGATTGAAATACAATATAACCTTTATTTACATAGATGCTGATTAAATAGAACGTTACAATAAAATTATCGCATTGGAGGATTGATCTATATACAGAGCAGAGAGCGCGTAAAAGGTTGGTGCAGTTTGCGCCTCCAGGAGGCCTGCATGCTTGCAGAGACATTTTTCTCTCATGGTTAAAAAATATGGACATATCTATGTGCGACTTTAAATCTGATCAAATAAAGGAGTGGGGCTTATCCAAAAAATGTTGCCAGATCTTAGATTTTTGACTGGACAATGGAAATGAATGCTGTATAAAACAGTAATTGCACAACGTTTTTTATTTTTCCTCTAAAAACGCCAGAAAATGTGTTAAAATATTGTCCTAGTCTACTTGAAATAAAACAAAATATTCCCCCCAAAATGTGCTGAAACTTAAACGGATGTAGGGATTGGTTATAATAAATTAAAACGAAGAAATAAAAATAGGAAAAATGATCCTGATTGTTCATATATGTGTATACTCTCCTTTTTTAAATCAATATCCGTGCAAAAGTTTGGGAAGAAAAATGTCCCTCTTCTATTTATTTTTTGTGTGTATGAAAATCCCAGTCCTTCTCGGCTGTTAATCGTCCACCTCAATCTCCTCATCATCCTCTGAGAACTCATCAGTGGTTTGGTCTCTGGATGAGGAGGGGGACTGTGGGAAGGCTCGGTGTCCTTGGGAGGTCGGGGAGACGCTGGGGGACCGGGCCCCGGGGCCTCCACCCTGCGCGTCCTCGATGCTTTCCATGCTTACGAGCTTCTGCAGCGTCTGAGGCGTGATTTTCTTCAGCGACTCCACGTCCGCCTTCATCTCCTCCAGGTCCCTCTTGAGCTTGGCCCTGCGGTTCTGGAACCAGGTGATGACCTGCGCATTGGACAGTCCCAGCTGCTGCGCGATTTGGTCACGGTCGGCCGGAGAGAGGTACTTCTGGTAGAGGAACCGCTTCTCCAGCTCATAGATCTGATGGTTGGTGAAGGCTGTCCGCGACTTTCTCCTCTTCTTCGAAGTCTGCCGCTGACCGAAGGCGTTCAGGTGTTCCCGACCTTAATGAGGGGAGGACATAGGAGAAGGATGAAAAATCTGACCTCTGAAATAAAATCAACTTTAATTCCTCTTAAGTGTTTTTTCTATATTTTGCAAACTTTAATATGAACCTTACATATATATGACTTTAAAGCATTTTAGAATATAATAACATGCTGTCAAATGCAAAAGAAAACTAATTGCATAATACAGAATTTAATTTTAGGCCAGAAAAAAAGCCTAACAATGAAAAATTCTGTTTACTTTTACTTAATTTGAATATTTCAACCATGTTTATCTTTCACCCAATCAACGCAGCGCTGCAGGCCAGACCGATTTCCTTAATATTTGACTAAATGTTTTCATTTGTCTCAGTCTGGTTTTACCCAAATATGTCTGTTTATCATGAAGCCACATTTCTTTATCCTTTTTTTTTTATCCCCACACATTCCCATGCAGATGTCCTGGCATTTCCTTGTTACGCATCAAAACAACCCTCCTGTCATTTTAAACCAAACTTTTAGGGAAAATATTTGAATCCATAAAGTGTACCTTCTGCTGCCTGGATGACGCTGACTTCCAGACCCTTGAAGGTTTTGCTGGCCAGCTCCTCCAGCGCGCACAGCGGTGAGGACGGAGTGCTGATCCCGTTCCTCGCCGCGCTGGAGCCCGTGACTTTTTCCAGCGCCCGCGGCGGACAGATGCTGGCCACGGACTTCTTCACGGATGGTTTGTTGAGGATATCCTCGATGCTGAACGGCGTCAGCGGCTTGTTGGAGTTAGCCGGAGGCGGCAGCTGGTCCAGCGGAGCGCGCCTCCGCTCCTCGCCGCCGGACTGCAGCACAGACCCTGCCTTCATGTCTTTACTGGAGGTCATCGCAGTCCCGCAGATATAGCTGCTCTCAGGATTTAAAATAAAAGTTGATTATTTCATTCAAATAGATTTAAAACGTCCACAGGCGTTTCCTGTGGAGCTCGGGGCTCCTCTAGACCTCCGCTGTACTTTAGCGCTTCGAGTCCAAGGCTGTAAACTCAGCTCGCCTGAGAGCCTTCCTCCAAAATAACCATGCTTCGGGCGTAGTTGCAGAGGCAGCCGCACAGTATCCCCTTCAGAGCGTCCCGGTTCATCTGCCAAACTCCATGCGGGTCTTTAGAAAGCGGCTGACTGGAGGTGGTGAAGCCCTGAAAGGGGAGAAGGGAGTAAAAAAGCTTCCAGGCACCAAGAAAAGGAAAGTGACTGCTAACGACTTATTGTTGATTGGGCGAAGTTCAATTAGAGAAACACTACACCAGTTGGTGACCCGCTGCTGCGTCTTAAAGGGCCGGAGCAAAAGAACTAATTGGACGTGGGGAATAGGAGGAGTCTGGTGTACTGCCTTGAAATGTTTATGCATCTGTTTCCCTCTGCTGCTGTAGAAAGTCAGAGCCGATGGTGGAATCAAAGCAGGTTTGCATCATGGAAAAAGGATTTCAACCAAAACAAGCTTCACATGTTTGTCATATTCATGCGTAACGGAGCGTTGTGCGTAAAGTGCGAATATGGCACCCTGTTGCGCATGATAAAAGCAATTTAGTGTGACTAAATATTTACTGATAATGATTCATTATGGCAAGAAAAAAAAACTTTTAATCTGAGAATAAAGATAAAAATGTATGGTTGTAGGTTTAAACTGTTTTGTCTTTAAGGTGCAAGGTGTAATCGCATAAAAAAATAATAGGGCGGTAAATATCCAAACTAAATTAAACGAATATGAATAATAAAAAAAACATTTTATTTTCGTTCTTTGCCCTTTTATTTTCGTTTTTTTTTTCTTTTGTGATCTGTTCTTTTTTTCCTGGTATTTCGGCCATGCCCGTCTGTCTCCGCAGGTGGAATCCAGTGGAACGCAATATGCGCTGCCGTGAAATAAGCGAGTAATAAAGGTGACGCCGGGCTGCGGGTTTCAGTCTGATAAGGGAGACAACATTTTCTGCACCGATGTCTAACACGTTCAGAAAGGAAGAGAATGAGAAAAAGAGAAGATTTTGGACGCATTGGAAAAAATCGGCAGGTAGGCTATGTCTATTCGGAGGGAGCGCACCTTGTTTTATTCTAAACGCATTTGATTTTTAACCTACTGTTGGTTTTAGGTTCGTTTTAATAAAGATTTTCTGCAAAAGATGCGAGGAAGGGCTTTATGCAGACAAGAAATTAAAGGTACCATAAATAAACATTTTCTTTTTAGGTCAACACCTTATAAATACATTTGTGGAACGAAATACATTAAATTTCTTTTTTTTTTAATGTTTGAACAGTTGAATTATATTCTTTCAAACGTTAATTTGAAAGGATATAATATAAGAACATAATCTTGTTTTTATTTTAAAGGCTGCAGTGTGGAGCCTGCTGCTCATGGAGCCACTGCGGAGAGTCTTGTGCCAACAGCAGCATATGGTGACATTGGTTTAGGGACGGAGTTGTAAAACAGCAGGAAATTCTATTATCAGCCGTGGAGGTCCACCCTCTGAGGCTGCTTTGAATCCATATTTCTCCATAACGAGCAGGAGCTCGCAGGGATAAATCCAGTTAGAGGGAATTTGGAGAGAAACGCGCATCGTTTTGGAGAAAGTTCCGGGAGAATCAAATGATGTTAATATCAGAGTGAAGGTAATTTTATCGGACATTTTTTTGACTTGAATTTGAAATCAGGATAAACTCGAAGGTATATGCCAGGATATATCATTCATGCTTGAATAAATAAAATCCCCGATTGAGATGAACAGATTTATTTTTGTCTCGACATTTCTCCAAAATGTTGGTTTATTATAGTTTATTTTTTATTAAACATCCAGATATAATTTATGGAAACCTGCATTTTGCAGTAAAGATATTATACATTTATTGAGGGGGAAAAAAGATATATTCCAAAAAAGAAACCTGCTCTGTGTTCACCGATTTTAAATATTCTTTTTTTTTAACCTTTCACCTTTTACATTTGATAGGAAACTGCGCGCTTTTCCTCACCTTTTGGTTTAATTTGAACGTTAATTAGGTGCAGAAAAATTGACATCATCAGTCACAAGCTGTTGGCGGGTTTAATTGGGTGCTTTTACCTCCCATCAGAGCGGCCTCCTTGCGTTAAAATGTGACGTCCGCTCACCTCACAACAGTCTGTTTGGGTTTTATTCTCTCTGTTGCGGTGATTCATTAGAGAAGCCTATAATGTTTGAACTTCCATTTTTTTTCTGAATTATAAATTTGCACCTCTTCATTAGTAAATGCGCCAAAACGGCCATATTTATTATTAGATACTTTGTGTCCCACAGCTCGGGAAAAATCTAACCACCCATAAAAAAAGCCTTAATCGCTTTAGCAAACAAATCTATATAATGCAAAGCAATATTAGGATATGAGGTATTCTGATAATCTTATTTAGTCAATTTGAATATATGGTGTCAGATACAGCAAGTGCGATTATAATCTTAAGCAGATAAACTGCTTTACGCAGCCCCAGCTCATCATTCTACATGCCATGTCCCCCTTATCGTTAAAGGTGGGACTCCTATCTTTATGTTCATAAACACAAAACGATTAGACCGCAGCAGAGGAGTGCTGCCATTCATAACCCAAATAAAATGGTAATTTTAAAAGAATTGCCTTCTAATCGAAAATCTAAAAAGAGAAACTACAGCACATCCTATCTATCTATCTATCTATCTATCTATCTATCTATCTATCTATCTATCTATCTATCTATCTATCTATCTATCTAT